TCTCGGACTCGCTGTCGTCCGTCTTGGCTTTGAGCAAGGGGCGCTCTTCGGCGCCAGGGGTCTGCGGGGCGCTCCGCGCCGTCGCGGCACACGTCGTGGCCACAGGCCTCCGCCTCGCCGCCCGATGGCTGCCCAGCGAGTGGAACTTCGCGGGCGGTCCGTCGCGAGGCCTCCGGCATGCTGGATATGCCCGAGCAGGAGGCGGAGGCGCTTACGCGGAGGCGACCTCGGACGGAGGCGGTCGATGCCAGGGAGCTGCCGCGGACGCGGGCTCTGACGAGCCCGCCCGCGGCGACGGCGCCTCGCCTCCGCCGCCTGCTGGACGGAGTGGGCCCCGCGGGCCCGGATGGCTTCCTGCCGCTTTCGGACTCGACGAACCTGGCGACCTCGCAGGCCGTGAAGCGGAGGAAGCTGTCTCGGCGGCTTGCGAAGCTCACTGAGGAGGGCTCGCGGGATATGTTGAGGAGGAGCACTGTGCGCCTTCAGACCGTCAGGACCCGCTACCAGCAGCTTGACGACGAGTTCGACGAGTGGATGGACAAGCAGGGCTTGCCGCGCCGGCCTCGCTTCTCGGTCGACCACGGGGAGGTGGGGCCGCTCTCGGCCTCGGACGTCGAGAGGATCGACTTGGCACTCGCCGAGTGGATGCTGTCGCAGTACCTCGAGGGTGTCGACCACTGGCGCGGGGTGCAGGTGCTGGCAGCGCTGCAGTGGAGCGACCCGCGGCTCGGCCGCGACGGGTCGGCCTCGCTGCCGGCAGCGCGCCGGACGCTGCGCGGCTGGAAGGTGCTGACGCCGGCGCGGGCGAGGCTGCCGCTCCCCGAGGAGTTGGTGGCGGCCATCGCGTGCGAGCTCGTCCTCATGGGCCAGTGGGAGGCGGCCGCCTGCGCGGTGCTGCCCATGGTGTTCTACATGAGGCCAGGGGAGTGGGGGCGGGTGCTGGTGCGCCACGCCGCCCCGCCGCGCGCGGCGGGCAGCCTGGCCCTGCGGCGCTGGGCGCTGCTGCTCCACCCGCACGAGGGCGAGGGCGCGAAGGCCAGCAAGACCGCGGAGTGCGACGAGAGCATGGTCCTCGACCTCGACTGCGACCAGTGGCTGTCGGGGGTGCTCCATCGCCTGGTGGCCGGCCGCAGCGGGGACGAGCCGCTCCTCCGCATCGGCGTCGCGGAGTTCGCGGCGTTGTTCAGGGGGTGGCGCGGCGCCTCGGGGTCGAGCCCGAGCCCATGCCGTACCTGCTCCGCCACGCGGGCGCCAGCAGGGACTTCGTGAACCAGCTGCGGCCGCTCCGCGAGGTGAAGAGGAGGGGGCGGTGGAAGACGGACACGTCGGTGCGGCGCTACGAGAAGGGCGGGCGTCTCAGCGAGCAGTTCGCCCGCCTCCCAGGACCGCTCCAAAGGCGCGCCCTGCGGTGCCACAGCGTGCTCCCCGAGGTGCTCTTAGGGGGGCTCGCTGCCCCGCCGTTCCAGGCTTGCTGAAGGTGCGGGTGTTCTTGGAGGTGTTCTCGGGCTCGGGGCGTCTCAGCCGTGCCATGAGTCGACGCGGGTGCCACGTTTTGGCTTGGGACATCCGTCGCGGCGCTGAGTGCGATCTGAGGGGCCCCGCCAAGCGCCGACTTGTGCGCGGCTGGATCTTGGGGGGTCTGGTTCTTGGGTTGCATCTCGTCACTCCGTGTGGGAGCTGGTCGAGGGCCCGCGATATTCAGCCAGGCCCCCCGCGCCTCCGCTCTGATACGCACGTTCTGAGTCTGCCTGATTTGAGTGCTTCCTCCCAGTCTGCAGTCGATTTTGGAAATCTGATGATGAGATTTTCAGTGTCGCTCCTCCTAGTAGCGAAGCGCATGCAGGTGCCTTGCTCTATGGAGAACCCAAGCACCTCGCGGATGTGGCTTGCTCCCGCGGTCGCGTCTCTCATTCGATCCAGGGCCTGGGGTCTTCTCAACGCTGATGTTTGCCAGTGGGGCGCGCCTTGGAGGAAGCGCACGTCCTTCTTGGCCGCCCACCTCGACCTCTCTGCGCTTGTCAAAGTATGCAAGCGCGTGCGCGGGTGCTGCAGCCGGAGCGGTCGCCCCCACCAGGTCCTCGAGGGTCGGGCTCCCGACGGTCGATTTTGGACCGCTGTCGCCGAAGCTTACCCCTCGCCCTTGCGTCGAGAGCTGGCGCTCCTCTTCGATGGCGCTATCGTTTATCGAAGAGCGTCCGCGATGCAGAATGTTGTGTCTAGATTGTAAATGAATGTTACGGCCCTCGGCCATTCGACTGTTTTGGGCAAATGTCTGTTTTGGCGTGTTCGATCTAATCTCGATTGAATCCTGGTTTGATCTGGCTCGGCCTGTGGCGCGTCGCTGCCTCTCCAGAGAAAACGGAGCGCCACCTTGTATAGTTGGCGCTTCGCGCATGGCGCGGCCAGACGGCGGGGGATACAGTTCAGTGTTTCACACGTATTTGAATTCTCGCCGTCGGTCCCGTTGCCGTCCATCGTGTCCGATGGCCACCTTTGCTCAAGTCTCCCTCCCTCCCTCCCTCTTTGCTCTCTTTTCCTCTGCGCCCTCAGCCTGCAGATGGCGTGTTCGATCTAATCTCGATGTAATCCTGGTTTGATCTGGCTCGGCCTGTGGCGCGTCGCTGCCTCTCCAGAGAAAACGGAGCGCCACCTTGTATAGTTGGCGCTTCGCGCATGGCACGGCCAGACGGCGGGGGATACAAATACATGCCGGTATGCATGCGTTCATGCATGCATGCATGTATACATACGTACCCGTACATCTACACACACGTACATACACACATGTATACATACATGCATGCATGCATCCATGCATGCGTACAACCATGCGTAACAACACACATGAATACAGACATACATCCAGGCATACATACATACATACATACATACATACTCACATCCACACATACATGCATGCATTCATAAGGACAGACCGACAGACGGACGGACGGACATACCGACAGAGAAGCATACGCACATACATACATACCCTTTGTTTTCACATATGTTTCTGACATCGGAACCTGCGGAAACCCAGCCCCCCCCCCCCTCCCCCCCCCCCCCCCCCCCCCCCCCAAACCGGGACCCCCAGGATCCGGATTTCCTGGACAGCCCCTCAGAGGGTCCCGCGAGATTTCTGGGCCTCTTGGAAGTCCCTGCCAACCCGTGCAAAAGGGCCGGCGGTGGTCCCGAGAAACCCACAAGACGGTCCAAGAGGCTTCCAGCGACCCCAAGGGGCTTTCGAAACGCCGTAACTAAAGAATGTTTTGTGTTGGTGTTCGTAGGATCTGGGGCTATTCGATTATTCGGTCTTCGGGCGTCCGAGAAAGCCCGAAAGGCACCGGAAATCGCTCCAAGATGACCCCAGAAAGGTTCCTGACAGTTCAAGAGAGCCCCAAGACGACTCACAGAGGGCCCCATGACGGGCCAAAATTGCCCCAAGACGCCTCCCCGAAGCATCCAAACTGTGCCCCGAGACCACGGTTCACGGCATGGCGCCCCGAGGAACCGCCCAGAGGACGCCAAAAAGGCACCCGGGGCGTCTCCAGAGGCGCCCAAGGAACCCCTGAAAAAGGTTCCGCGAGGTCCTCCAGAAGCTCGCCTCGGAGGAGCTTCCGCAAACAAATCTGAGGACGGGGAAGAGTTCGCGGGGCAACGAAGGCGAGAACAAGGAAGAGGAAGAGGAAGAGGGCACATCAGGGAAGGATAAGGAACAACAATCTAATGACGGTAACTGCGAACATTGCAACCAACAGAGTTCGTTGTTTTGGTTGACCTACCTGTATATCATCATGCCTTCATGTAAGAATCGGAGGACCAAGGCCCGTGTCGCGAAGCGCCAATGCAGTCTCGCATGTGTACATAGCTTCTACAAAGATGGAAGCCACCCCACATGATCATACATATTCGTAATGTCATGATTATTCATACCTGCATCCCACATCACCTCCTCCTCCCCCTCCTCATCCGATTTCATTAGCTACATTGACGACATGGGAGTTCATGTTTCGGGAGCTGACCGTGATGTGGTACTAGGTGTTGCTGCTCATGCAGGCCATGATTTCTTCAGAGTTTCCCGTTCACTGGAGGCCACCCTCAATGACAAGGTGGCGATTGTGCCAAATGATTCTCAACTCGGACAAGATGTGGCAAAGCAGATAGGACTGGATCGACAGAAGGTGCGCCCTGCGGTTGCATACCTTGGGACGGACCACGCCGCTTCCCGCCGACGTGCCCACCCCTTCACGGGCAGGAAGCGGTTCAATCGTACACGTAAAGCACGCCAGCGTTTAGCTAAATCTACCAGACTCAGATCAATGCGGAAGGCTGACGAGAGACTCGGGCGTATTTTCACGACAGGGATCAAGTTGGACTCTCAGTGTGGAGTTGAAGTCAATCGAGTAGATGATCGTGAGTTGTTTTCGCTGCGCCGCCAAGCCTTGCCCTTTAAGTCGCCAACCAAAGGTGCTAGTTTTAGGGCTAAATTGGCCCTACACGGAGAACCCATGACCCGTGAAGCCATGGCCCCCGCCCTACAGTGGGCAAAGATGGTCTGGCAGGCCCATTTGTACCCCCAAGAGGCCCTGGTAGGCACCCAAGAGCTCAAGTGGAATTGGGCTCGTTTGTTCCACTACGGCCTAGTGGCCCCAGATTCTTGGGCGCAGTCAAAAGGGCCTGTTGGCCGCGTCCTCCAATGCCTGGCCCGTGTGGGCTGGCAAGTTGTTTCAGCCACCTTGTGGAAGGACCACAACTGGGTTCAGATAGACCTAACCCACGCGTCGCCCAGTCTGCTCCTTGGGATGTTTAAGGTTTCCTTCCAGGCTGGCCACGAAAAGACGTTCGGGGAGCAACTGGGGGCCGGAGGTCACCATAGGGCCAGCCTGGAGCCAGTGAGTCGTGCGTTTCGAACCAAGTAGTACACGAGGTTCCACAAGTATTCCGTTCGTTCGTGTCTGTGCGATTGCCTCTGGACGGAGTCGCATGCCCATTAAAAGGGCATGCAACGGGTCGTGGAGGTCAGTGCCAGTGCGGTCAGCCAGACACGGTGTTTCATAGACTACGAATGTCAGTTGCCACATATCCTCGAGGCTCGCGCCTCCTCTGGCGTCTCGCAGTTTTTCGGTCAGTCTGGTCTCGAGGCTGGGCCCGATAGTCGGCTCTACGTGCGAGGTGCGGCTGTCATAGAGGATGAAGATGTGCCGCCGATTTCTTCCCAGCCTGTTGCCCATGTGCTCACAGGCGATGGGGTTTTGTTGCCTGACACTGACATGGAAGAGATAGTCCAGTTTGCGGGGGCCTCACAGAGAGTCCATATTGCAGTTGACTGCAGCAGCACCATGCCCACGCTCTGTTTTCCAGCGGGCAGCGTACAGTGTGGTCCTCTTCTAGCCTTCGCCTCCCAAAACATGTGAGATTCTCCGAGGGGCAATCCCAGCTGGCTTCACGCAGACCCCAGCGATGGCCGAGAATTTTGCCTTAGCGGTTGCATGTCAGATTGCAGATCGCCCAGTGTACATTCATGCTGATTGCAAGGCTGCCATCTCGCAGGCGTTGCTACCTCGAGCTGCGCAGCTCCGTCCCAACCGATTGTTTGCTGGTGTCCCCGTGTTCGCTTGGTCGTTGCCTGGATTTCAGCGCGTCCAGGCGATCCAGCAGGTGAAGGCCCATTCGCAGCGCTGAAATCATCGATGCATTGCCGCCTCATGAACGCGCGATAGCGCGAAGCAGTTGGGAAGCCGGCATCACTGCCAAGCAGGCTTTGCTGCTGCGTGCTCTCATCGGTCCCGAGGCTGCCACGAGACTGGATAGTGACATCGATCTGTTCTCCAGTTTTGTTAAGCTGGCTGTCGCCATCCTCCCCGAGTGCGGGAACCGCCGTCAACGCCGCGCTCGCCCGTTTGCGCGGCACCGTTCTGTTAGGGCGGAACTCCATTGGCATGAGTGGCAGGATGGGCCCTTAGGCTCCCAGTGTAAGCGCTGTTGTTCGCTGGCCCCGCAGGTCCCTAGTGCCGAAGTCACGGGGTGTTCTGGGGCCCCTCTGTTCGTTCGAAGTGTCGTCCGCCGTTCTTTGGGGCACCTGATCGCAGGCGTGGCTCCCACGGGATCCACCCCGGGAGCCCCTCAAGGCCAAGGACCTGCAGGCCCGCGCTGCAGTTTCTGCGCTTGAAGTGCGGGCGTTGGTTTCAGCGGTGCGCCCGCAAGCTCGCGCAAGAGTACAAGCGCCCTTCGCGCAAACGAGCTGGCGTCCTGTCGAAGTATGCCCAAGGACTTGGACCGAGCAACCGTGCCCGTCAGTATGTTGTTCGTGCTGCCCGTGCTCACCTCCTTCCCCCCCCGTCGACTGGCCACAGGGCGCGCAGCCGCACCACGGCCCCGACGGAGTTTCAGGCGGAGGGAGCTGCTGTTCCAGAGTATGTGCGCCGAGCGGCGGCGCTCAAAGCCCGCGTCGCCGCTCGTGAAGCGAGGGACGATGAGTCGTGAATTCAGTATTGTTTCACTTCGGTGGGGTGCCCTGTCGTGGCCCAGGGCGGAGCGTCGGGAGCTCCGCCCCTGGGTAACAAATGCCCCCTTCTGAGGGGCACCTTGCCGAGTAAGACTTGCGAGTCTCTCCCCCCTGGGGCATTTCTAATCTAATCTAACCTCCTCTTCCTCCTACTTAGTCCGAGCGTGGCTCGAGTATGCGCATTGGTCAAGGCCCCACAGAGGCAGTGGCGCTGTCATTCTGGCTGACCAGCCGCGCCCGCCGCCTCCCATCTCTCCCTGTCTGCTGTCATCGCGGATGCTAGGGGCGGTCCTGATATTCATGCCCCACTATCGCAGTGTATCTACAGTGGGTATCGGGTTTACTCCGAGGGTGGCCCAGGCGCGTGCATTTGTCAGAACACAGAAGAGATGGCGCTGCCACTGTTGCTGTTCATCCTCGCCCGCCGCCTCGAATCTTCCCCTTTCCCTGTGCCTGTGCCGATGTCATGAAACCGTTTTCCATTGTCCCCTCGCGACAACGGGCGTATCCGAGGGAGTGGAAGGGGGGGGGGCGGTCATGTCACGATTCGCGCCGTCGCCGTCTGGGGGGGGGCGGTCACGTCACGATTCGCGTCGTCGCCGTCTGGGAATGTTGAGGGATGGCTACTCCCTACACGGTGCCAGCACGAGTCGATGGCGTCTCCGCGCGCTCCAGTTCAGATTCGATGTAGCATCAGAGACATTGCGCGCCACGGAGTTAGTGAGTGAGTGTGGGGGCGGGGCCGGTCACGGGCGTTATCGTAAACAAAAAACGGGTTTTATCAAAACGACAATGGCCAGTCCATCGATACCCCACGCTGCATGCAAAGTTGATCTTTAGTGGGCATCGTGTGTCGTCCCAGCGTGGCTGGGGCGTCTGCGCATTCAGTTGTATATGCAGATGTTTATGCACACATACACTTTTCATATCTCCATATACATCGTTGTGAGTTGATTGGTGATTTTATGCACTCATGTGTATAGTTAATGCTGTATGGTTTTATGCATGTATTGATGCATGTGTTAATTCCCCGTGGCATTTTTATAGTTATATGTTGTATAGTTGCTCAATGTAGTTACGCGTCTGCACGTATGTATGTTTATGAATTTATGTATCCGTAAGGGCTTCGCCCCCTGCCGCCGGCCCCCTTTCTCGGAGAATGGGCCACAGAAGAGCGAAGCCATGAGGCTTTTGGCTTTTCCGTGAAGCAGTGTCGGGACCAATTTGTTTTTCGACCCTGACCCTGCCGATCTGCGTGAGGGGTGCCGCCGAATGTCAGACATGTGGCAAATCCCTTATGTTTTTGGACCCTGACCCCGCCGATCTGCGTGAGCGGTGCCACCGGATTTAGGAAATGTTGCACATCCTTTGATTTTTTGGACCCTGACCCCGCCGATCTGCGTGAGGGGTGCCACCGAATTTCAGAAATGCGGCAAATCCGTTGCGTTGTTTGACCCTGCCCCCGCCGATCTGCGTGAGTTGTGCCACCAGATTTTAGACATTTGGCAAATCGCCTGTGCTTTTAAATTCTCACCCCGCCGATTTACGTCAGGGGTGCCACCGAATTTCAGACATGTGGCAAAGTCCTAGTGTTTTTGGACCCTGACCTCGCCGATTTGCGTCAGGGGTGAAAGGGAATTTGAGAAATGTGGCACATCCCTTGTGTTTTTGGACCCTGACCCCGCCGATCTGCGTGAGGGGTGCCACCGAATTTTAGAAATGTGGCACATCCCTTGTGTTCTTGGACCCTGACCCCGCCGATCTGCGTCAGGGGTGAAAGGGAATTTCAGAAATGTGGCACATCCCTTCGGTTTTTGGACCCTGACCCCGCCGATCTGCGTCAGGGGCGCCACCGAATTTCAGAAATGTTGCAAATCCTTTGTGTTTTTGGACCCTGACCCTGCCGATCTGCGTGAGGGGTGTTAATTTGTACCACCCCAGGAATTCTAATAACCCTCCCGTGGGACGCTATCCAGGGTGGTTTTCGGCTCCCCCCCCTCGCGCGGACAGTAATAATTTACAGTAGGAAGCAGAAATCAGTACTGTATCAATGGAAACTGGAAGCAGGAACTGGTGCAGGGAGCAGCAAGCTTAACCCTCGCAGCCTGATGGACCCGCAAGGGGGGCGGCTGATCTATTCTTATATATATACATATATATATACATACATACATACGTACATACATACATACATACCCACCTACATACATACATACAAACATACATACATACATACATACATACATACATACATACACACATACACACACAAACATACACACATACATACACACATATACAAACATAACATGTCTGTAGATTCATGTACATATGTTTATGTGCACATACCTATGTATATCTACATATATGTACATGCATATACCTATATATATGTGCACATGTACATCTATATATATATATATATATATATATATATATATATATGCCCGCGGACAAACATACAGGTGCTCCGACGCTCCATTGGGGGACCGCGGGGCGCCGGGGGCTCCCACAGATCACCCGAAGACGGCCCCCGGATCGCCAAACATGGCGATCAAGGACTGCGAAATTGACCCAGGACGGCCAGATATTACCTCAGAATTATCCCCTGACTGTCCAAGAAGCCTCCAAGACGCCCCAAGAGACCTCCAAGATGCCTCTCACGGATCCCCAGCAGGCCAAAATGATTGATGATCCGACGCTTTTGAAGGCTTTTCAAGTTCTCCCCTGTCCAGTTTCCCGACGCTCCACGACGTCCCAAGAGGCCTCATTCTCCGTTCAAAGACAGCCCAAGACGGCCCAAGACAGCCCCAAGACGGCGCCAGAGGCGCCCAGGACGGCCCGAGAAGGCCCCAGCACGGCCCCAAGGGGGGCCAAGAGGGGTAACACGAACCGAGAGTCCGAGCCTTCACCCCGAGAGGCTCGCAGGAGATCCCCAGAGGCTCCTAACAGGCCGCAAGGGGCCACAATAAGCCTCCCAGAAGGCCCAAGAGGTTCCAAGAGGCCTCCCACGAAGGCCCCAAGAGGCAAAGGTCATTGCTTTCCCGTAGGTTGTTTGACAGATTTTCTAGTTTTCAGCCTTTTGTCATCCCGACGCTCCAAGACCGCACAAGAGGCCTCCAAGACCGCTACAAGATAGCCGAAGAGGCCTCCAAGAGGGCCCCAAGACGGAGGCGCTCATGGGAGACGGAAAAACCGTTCCCATATGCCGCGATCCATCCCCAGGAGGCCCACAACAACCCCAAGACGCGCCAAGATGGCTTACTTACGGCATGAAGCACCCCCAAGACGCTCCAAGAGGGTTTCAGGAGGCCCCCCCGAGAGCGCCCCAAGAGCCACAAATCATGAATCTTCGTTGTGTAATTCTATGTTTTTTGCCGTTCTCGCCTTGTCAGACACCGACTGTCCCAGACGGACCCAGAAGCCCCCGCGAACGACCCAACAGGGCCTGAGAGTCGCCCAAGACGTTCCCGGTCCCAAGACAGCCCAAGGTGGCTCCAAGACAGCTCAAGAGGCGCTCTAAAGGGTTCCAAGACTGCCCAAAGCGGGGGCCGAGAGACGCAAACTAACTGACAATTCCAGCTTTCCACCCAGAGAGGCCCCCAGAAGGCCCCAACAGGCCCCCAAGAGAGCCCAAGAGGCTCCGAAGACGTCCGGCCCCAAGAGGCCCCCATGAGGCTTCAAAATTGCTTCCACGAGGCCACCAAGCAAGATTTTTCTCAGAGGCATCTGGGAGGCTCCAACCCACCGCGCCAGAGGCCCCCAAAAAGGCCCAAGGAGTTTCCCCAGAGACATCCAGTCACCCCCAAGCGGTCCCCCAAAAAAATCCAGAAGACTCCACTATGTCGAAGACCGACCCCGAAGCCCGACGACGACGACGACGACGACGATTACGGCGATGAGGGCGAGGACGATGACGACGACGGCGGCGGCGACGACGACAACGACCGCGGCGGCGTCGACAACGACGACGACGACGACGACGGCGGCGGCGACGACGACGACGGCGACGAGGACGACGACGAATACCACGACGCACGGCTACCCCAGCATCCTTGCCCCTTCGAGCATCCTTCACCCAGTGACTGTACTTCTGCAAGCGTGTGATGACCTGATAGTACAGACCCCCGGCAACAGCCGCACCGATGGCTGCGGGGTCCACCGCCCGCACACGCAAAAGTTCTCCCCGCTCCTCATTCATCGTGGTCGCTGCCGCCGTCGCCGTCGCACTCCGTCGTCGCCGCCGCCGTCGTTGTCGTCGTCGCCGCCGCCGTCCTCGTCGTCGTCGTCGTCGTCGTCGTCGTCGTGGCCGTCGTCGCCGCCGCCGCCGCCGTCGTCGCAGGGAACCGCCCTGGGCCCCTCGTTCCCCAGAAACGGATCCCCGTCGAGGAGTCGTCCTCCCCCCGAGGGCCCTTGCCCGTCTCACATGATCCACAGCCGCGACGGTCATATATATATATATATATATATATATATATATATGTGTGTGTGTATGTATACGGATGGGTATACACATAGAAAACTCTAAAGTGAGCTGGGGGTATTGGTGAGTGGGAACGAGCATGCGCCCGCGGCCGCTTGGCTCAAAGCGGCCGGCCGACCAGATCTGACTACACCCAAGTGCGGGGTGTACGATGTGCCATCGATACCACAATTGCTTGAGATGGTTCGCCTCCTAGTACTGGGACTATCGCTACTTCAGTACAACAGAGCTTGAGCTGGGCTTCGCCTGAGGCGAAGCTGTTGGTTGGGCCTCCCAACCCTGCTCGAACTTGGTAGCGGAGCTGGCCTATGGTTGTCAACTGTTGCTCTACTCCTCACCATCCACGGCACTATCTGGTGGACTACTGACGTGGCGGAAAATCAAGGTGCAGTGGGCTTGCGCGGAGGAGTGTATAGAATTACGCAACATGGCAATGACACTTGCAGTGATATCTCTGCTTGCGCAGAGGCGTCTTACTCGCGTCCTCCATCCCTGCGCTACTACACTCCTGAAACCCACCCACCTACTCCAAGTGGAAACTCTTTTGAAGGCATAACGCATGGAAGCATGCGGTACGACAGTGTGCCGC